GGTTAAACCTGTCCCATGTACAACAAGGCAACTCTCAGAGCCCAAGTGTGTATCTCAAATATGCATTTTAAATAACAAACAATTATAGAGGTTACACAAGTTCAAGCATTTTCGTATTTCGTCTAATTTTAATTCTATGTTAGTTTAACAAAAACCTGATGAGTTCATTTGATAGAAATGAAAGTAACACAAAACTTTGGTAAGTAAACACAAGTCATATGTAACAATGCACCCCAATATACATATGTAGATGGTCTTTACAATGATTTTATTATGTATTCATGGATAAAAAACGAAGTTAACAAAGATGATTATAGCGACAATAGTTCCGGTGAAGAAGTTAAAAAAGTGAAAAATTTATTAAATTTATATGATTACCTAGTTGACCCAATAGATAGATGGATTAGAAAAGATCTACCATCAGAAATCTTCGATTAAGCAGCTGGCTCGGATGAGTGATGACTTCAACTTTTCTATTGGCAACTTCCCTTACTCACGTAGCAATATATCATTATCACCTGTATATATGAGGTTTATGTCTCAAAGTTGATTCAAACCTCAAAAACATTTTATTCTACAATCAATTTCTCAACTGTTGCAGACTACTGACACATAAATTGATGTTACAAGGTATCCACAATCTCGTTTGAGGCAATATTTTGCAAATTCTATGGTCGATACAATGGACTTGTTTACAAAAGCAGTGTGTCGTTATGTCGAGATTTGACTGACGTCTTTCATGCAAATTGTTAAGCCATTATTATTTCATGCTAAACTGAACACAGATTTCTCCGTTTACCCGATAAAACAAAGAGCACACGGCGGGTGTGACCGGTCGACAGGGGATGCTTACTCCTCCATGGTACCTGCTCCCATCTGATGTTATAGAGGTCTGTGTTTGCTCTGCTCACATTTTGTATTATTTCAATGGACTTTTGAGCATGATGACTGTTCGTTATCTTCATATTTCATGAGTTAAAATATTTATACTCTTTAAATACCCAAACCTTTCTGAAATACCAGTTGTTTTTCTTAATTTCCCCATGGTGTTAGGAAATTTAAAAAAAGGATGAACATTATTATTGAAAGTATCAACTGCATGTCAAAACTCTCGTCTAAAAAGACAATATATATGTTTGTAAGGGATATATTCTAATTAGACGAAAACACGGGAGAAATATTTTGAAGCTCAAAATTTACAGTTCGTAAACATTTAACTCTGTGTGTGTTTAGTAGGCTTGGAAGTTAGAACAGCTGTCGTTTTGAATTCTTTTGAGGGAACCGCGTTGATACAGGTGGTGTAAAACTCTCATTTGTAATTTGTACTTTAAAAGTACCAATTTCAAAATACTTCCCGCTATTATGCCCAGTGCCAAATACATTGCCAAATCTGTTACTAAAAAAAACTCGGGAATTTTCGATATCATTTTTAATAAAGAGTAATGTTTTTTGTACCAAAAAGATTATATGAAACCCAGCTTCACTGGTTAAAAATACATTAAAACGTGGAAGTAACATTAAATGCTGGATTGTATAAAGAGATCGACTGCTATAAATACATTCTGCAACTACATGTATGCATTGTACTAATCTGAAGGTGTGATTTTAAGCCTTTTTGTTTGTTATCAAATTAAATTGGCATAGCTGAGAAGAGTTGACTCCGAGTGTCATACCCTCAATGTATGTTTCCATTCAAGTTCATACACTATCTGAAATGTTTGGTAAACACTTCAAAAGAGTCAGTTTGAATAGGATATATGATAAAGACAATTCTACATATGAAATAATACGTTTTGCTATAATACAGGTAATACAGGTAATTGTTATTGATTCAAAAGATGAGATGTAATTGTGGAATCTCAAGTAACCTATCGTGCCTGATAGGCCCTAAACTTTTGACATTCTCAATTTTTTTTCTAAAGAACGATAAAAAAAAAGTTTATTTCGTAAACCTTTAAGGGATGGAATTCAGATTGCTCTTATCAAGTTCAATTTTGTCTTTTAAACTGAGATACTGCGAAAAATAGTTAAATAAGCACTTATTAATAAGAAGTCATTTAGAAATAGTTCGTCATCTCTGTTGAGATTTGAAAACAGTAAGGGTATGAAGTTGTACACAAGAAAGTTGAGGAAAAGTTTATTCTTTACATGTTAGAATGCTTGCGTAAAACTTTGACAATTTATACTCACGGATTTTTCAAGATTTAAAAAATAAAATAAGTTTATAAAATTTTGACCCCGTTTGTAGGCTCATCCTAGCTGCATATCTGCAGGTTGCCGATCTAAAAAAATATGGGATCTGGTCGTTTACCCCAACTTTTTCTCAGCGACCTACAGAGCTCCAAATAAGCCCCATACCTCTCCCTGTGACTATGGTTTGAACAAAATTGAATCTACATTACTTAAAAATGCTGGTATGTATGAGGGGCATTCAATATTTTTATCAAAAGGGCATTACAGCACAAAACACACTAGATTGAATATTAATTATATTTCTCGCATTCCTCAAAGTAATCTTTGTTTTTATAACGTGCTGAAGTCGTTTAATCCATTCAAAAATAAATACTCCTAACTACGTTGAAATTCGAGAGCGTTATGCCTTTGTAACTATTGCTTTATGGGCTAGAGCATTGTGATGTTATGAATACATGTTTTTACCATTTTAGAGTGTATATTAAAGTACAATGTGTACTAGATAATTTGTGCAAAGTGGATTCCACGTTCTCACTAAAGAGCATTTTTCCATAGTATGAATTTCTTACCTTGACCTTTTGACCTGATATTCAATAGGGACCTTCTTTAAGTCACAAGGAGTTATGATAATCAACTTTAATGAAAAAGCTCAAAGAGAACTAAAATTATCAGGAAAAAGCTCAAAGAGAACTAAACTTATCATCTGGAAATCATTTTTTGTAGAGTATGAATTTCTGACCTTGACATTTGACCTTAAAATCAATAGGGGTGATAGGAAGTTGTGATAGCAAATTTCATTTCAAAATCTCAAATGCTTTCAGATTTCATCCAGAAATGAAAGTGTTACACACAGACAGAATGTATGAAATTTTGACCTTGGCCTTTTCACCTTAAAATCAATGGTCATCTTCTTTAGGCCAAAGGGAGTTGTATGGAATTTCTTTGAAAAAAAAAACTCAAAAAAAAACACTAAAGTTATCATCTTGAAACTGTTATTTGCAATGTATGAATTTCTAACCTTGACATTTTGACCTCAAACTCAATAGCGGTCTTTTTTTAGGCCAAAAGGATTTGGGTATGAAATGTCATTACAAAAGCTCAGAGGCTTTTTTTGAAATATCACCGGAAACAAATGTGTATCATTTTCTGACCTTGATCTGTGACCTTTTGAACTCAAAATCAACAGGGGTCATCTTTTAGCCACAGTGAGTTGTGATGTGAAATTTCACGGCAAAAGCTCAAAAGCTTTTTTAGATATCTTCCAGAAACACACAGACAAAATGACAGACGGACGGACAGACCCAAATCAATATTCCCAACTTTCAGTGATAGAAGGGGACCAAAAAAAAATAAAACAAAAATACACATGAGCAGTTTCTGAATAATTTACTTAACCAGTATCAGTCACATTTCTAAATATAATATGTAATCATTTTTTTTATCAAAATTATTAAGCAGTTGAACCAAACTGGTGTCATGTCATCTTCAGATTAATCAAATGACAATGTGAATTTTTGATATTTGATTCCCCAAACCTGTATCATTTGAACAAAAAATCCTTATAGCAGAAAATTCACAGCCAGGAATCTAGTTTAAAATACAACTGTACATATTTTAATAACAGACACAGACTCCCAAGTTTATTGTCAGTGTAGAATCTGTAACATGATGGAAACAAAATATTTCAATATTTACTGTAAAGATTATCTTAATTAATGACTCTGTGAGAGCTAAACTTAAACTTGTAAGTTTCAAGTGAATTAATATATGCAAATTTCTTCTACTCAATACAAACATTATAAAATAATCAGTGAGTTGAGGGTTGCTGTAAGCAATTTAAAAGCAAATTTTATTAAGGTTCTTTACCTTAATAAAATTTGCTGGTTAAATTGCAGTAATTTTACAATAACTTCAAAAAAATGAAGAAATTGCATACCTGTAAAACAAATCTGATACCCAAAACTTTTAAATAACTTTCTCATATATATATATATATATATATATATATATATATATATATATATATATATATATATATATATATATATATATATATATATATATATATATATATATATATAAGTAAAACGTTTATTTATTGTTTAAAAAAAGTTTGATCTTGTAATTGAGTGAGAGAAAAGAAATTATTCACCTTTAAAACATACATAAAAAAAATAGTAATGTATTTATGCATATTTTTATCTATTGCTCTTAAATTAAGAAGACAACCAATTTGATTACAATGGTAATTAAATCTTAGACACTGACATACCATTCATGACATGGAAATTACACCATTTTACACTAAAACTACATGTATGTAAATGGAAGAATACCAGTGTTCCTGCTTTAGGGGAATGTGTAGCATCAGTTATCAAATATCTGTTGAAATGAACACAACGAAAGGTCAAAAACACTGATATGGTACACAGATTGAATGATGACAAACATTTAACTCCCTGAATATTAATTATCTTGCTTAGTTTTCTAACAGTCATTGTTAGACATCACAAAAACAACACACACCATTCATCTAATCACATGAGACAAAGACAAATTTAACATGGATTGATCCTCAATTACTGATTTCTATATGTATCAGGCAGACAATTTTTGATTTGTGAAACACATTCATTCGTTGTATATAAATACATCTAAGAGAAAATTGTGAACATGGAACAAACTTTACAAAGACAAGTCCATACAATAGTTTAAAGCTTCATTCATCACAATCAATATATACGTTCATCATATGAATTTTTGAAGATTCATTTTCTTTTTTCAAATTCTAACTCATTTATTAAAAATTTTTTTTAAAAAAGTCTATTGCATTAAAATCAAATAAAAATATCACTATATGACATAAAAAAAATGATTCTATTTTTATAAATGCATAGTAAGTTTACAGGTAAAAACATTTAACATACTGATGTATTATAGTTGATATGTACAGTACAACTACAGTGAGAAATGGAAAAACCATGAAATAAAAAAAACAAATGCATTAAATGCTGTAGGTGAGGGCTCTTTCTGGTAAACAACAATAAATGGCACAGAATATTTTGATTTTTACATTCATCTATCATGAAAAAGACAGAATTTCAAAAAGATGAAAAAAGAATTCCTTCTTCATAGAATCAGAATCCTAGTAACATTAATTGAGATTGGATTTAATTTGCTTGATTACAAAAATTGATGGTTCAAAGAAATATCAGAGATGTTTCAAATAAATATCCAAGAAAAGATTCCAGTTACCAAGAATAAAAACAAACGCTTCTTTGGTCTGCATATACTACTTCGTGGTTATGATATCCTGAATACAGTGTCAGAGATAAACATTAAGAGATTCTTACATAATAACAGTACGTATTTGTCACCACTTGTTCATTTAACAACATTTACAGTATTCTTTACAACCTACTTAAATGTACATAAATGTTCAAATGAAAATATGAAATTCTGCATGAAATTAAAAGACAGCTTGTCTAAAAACCTTGTTTAAATAAAAAGCAATTGCACATAAATACTTCTACACAATTACACAGTTACTCATTGCTTGTAAATGACAGTATGTCATTATCTAGGTTTACTCAATGGTCCCTGTAACTTATGCTGCAGGAATGACATGGATTTCTTAAACAAACACTGCCTCTGCCTCTGGAGGGAGATTCCACACAAAGTCAAACTGAAATTTAAAGAAGGTTTTAGTTTTTAAAAAATACTAAATAGACAACTTGTGGTTGTTTTAATTTCATAATTTTCTTTAAATTTCAAGTGTTATCACTAATTTGTGAATATCAGTGATGTTCTTACTTGTGCAAATTCATCTTCACTCGGGGCTGGTTGGGGGGCGTAACTATAACTAACACCTGTCATAGGGAAAAAGTCGGGGGGAACTATGTCCTTTGGTGACACCTGAAAATGTAAAGAGTTAAATAAGAGCATTTAAACATACACTTATCAATCTTTATCTACGGTGTTATGTTCTTTTTTCTACCTAACCAGTATGTTAATACCTTCATATCATGATGAAAAAATAAAGGAATTATCAAACACTTTGAAAGCTATGACTGGTTGACATATTTGAGACCTCAGCTACAAAGATATCAAATCAGAAATATGTATGAATATATAATCAACTGACCTTTTTTTCTAATACAGCAGTAAAGTTAAAATTGGAGTAAAAGCTGGTATTTTGAAGAGCTAGTAGATCTGTAAGTCTTTTTTCTGGATTCTTCATAAGAAGCTGTGAAAAAGACAGAAAAACTACAATCATTAAAACATACTGAATGAAAACAAAGAATACCAGATACCAGTTGTTTTTATACAGATAGAAATACATGATTACACATATACATTTAGTTCAGGTTGATTTAACTATAAAACAGATTTATGATTTTGATCCAATCACAGTGTGAAACTTGAAATAAATAAGCATTCTTGACAGTCAACTGAGTCTTCTAAAGTTGAGAACATAAAGGAACTGGGAATACATTTAGTATTGATAGTATATCTATTATGAACTTCACTGTGACCTTCTAACTTTATTGATGACCTCTAGAGCTTTATCAATGACCTGTTGATGACCTCCTGAGCTATATCACTGACCTTATTGATGACCTCTAGAACTTTATCACTGACCTTACTGATGACCTCCCGAGCTTTATCACTGACCTTATTGATGACCTCTTGAGCTTTATCACTGACCTTATTGATGACCTCTTGAGCTTTATCACTGATGTGGTTGGGGAGTAAATAATCACTGTCCCACACAAGTTTGAGCATCTCATCATGATCCTGGGCCCCCTCAGCAGGGTACTGAAATGTGACAAGTACAAAAAACAGTGTAATTTCCAGAAGATACTGTATAATGTTCTATTTTTCATAAAGTAAATAATTGAATTTTTTAATTCCACAACCTGCCTTAAAACACAAACCATCTGTCTAACCAGTCAAGTGAATTTCAACCATAAAATGTTATCAATCAAGTCCGGTACAACAGGCAAATGATTTAAAAGTATAGCTTTAATGTACCTCAAATGCAGTTCATTGTTTAGTTTGAAATTTTTAATGATTTTTTTTTCATGGAAGTGCTACAAGTATTTCTATAAAAGTTTGAAAATTAAACAATAATTTGAACTTTGCATGAACACACACTATATAAAGGATTACTAATTTTTTTTTTAAAGACATTGTTGTCCTGTGTGGGAAAACACAAACTTCATCCCTGTATTGGTCACATTAGATTGGTTCAGGCATGTTTTATTACTTTGGAATAATGCTAACTGTAATGCTGTCCATTTAGCAAAAGCTTGTCCTAATTTGCCACACTAAGAAAATTGAATGAAATAAAGAGATTGTTTACTGATTCTTTTGTATTTTTGATTCATTTTAAATATTGGACTTACCCTTCCGGCAAGGAGGACATACATGAGTATTCCTAGGGACCACCAATCAGCAGTGTGGCCGTAGGGAGTGGTGGCCAGCACCTCAGGGGCTGTAACATGTAATCTCCATTAAAAAATACCCGACAATTTGTAACATTGACAAAGAACATTTTAAACTCTTAAAAGAAAACTACATGTATGTTAAAGAAGTTTAATCACTCCATCAAATAATTTACCCATATATTGCAAAGTTCCACAGATGGTTCTTGTTCTTTCTCCCCTGTTTAACCATTTAGCTAAACCAAAATCTGTCAACTGTATATGACCTAAAATCAAAATAGATCAGATAACAATATGAAAATGTGATTAAAAATACTTGTAAATCATTCAAGAAAATCAATCTTTTTTTTTTAGGAAAGCTTATAAAACTACCTTCTGCATCTAAAAGTATGTTCTCCATCTACAAAGAAATAATGAAATTAAATTCTTTGTTTAAAAATCTTGTTAAAATATTAAGCAAAAACAAAAGTCTCAGACAAGAATGTAGAAATATAGCTCCACTCATTTGGACAGAGAAAAGTTGCACGTTGACTTGAAAATACACTGACTATGATTTTAAACAAAATGTTATTCTCAAAATTCATATAAAAAAAAACCAAACTATTTACAAGAAAAAAAAACAAAAGCAAAAAGATAAGAGAAATGAAGTGTATTTATTAGCATTTTAAAAAATATTTACAGAAATGTTTCTTTCAGATTTTTTCAGCAGCATTTAAATCCCTGAATTTTAATGACTTAATACCTTTATATCCCTGTAAATGACACCAGATTTGTGAAGATAATCTGTAACAGACATGATTCAAGACAGTGAATATCATAATACAGTAAACTATCCTATTTTAAATCTTGTGTACTATTTCAGTTAACTAGAACTGATTAACAAATAATTTTTAATATTATAAATTAACAACCTAACACCATTGCCATTTCAGCAATATAAACTCTGGATAACATCTCTGGCAAGTAACCATGAAAGGACCACAGTGTAAACAGGTCTCCATAAGGAACATACTCAAGCACTTGAGAAAAAAAATTTAGATTTATACATTTCATATTATATATTACAAACTTTTCAAACACACACACAAGAAAAAAAATTTTGTCAAACAGGTCAAAAGTAAGACCAAAATAAAATAAATAAAATAAAAATTTCAACAAATTCACAAGATTATGTTTTCATTACATTCACAATCTTACATTTATCAATAATTTTATCTGCTGTCAAAGTATTTTTTCCTATGAAAATCCATATCATCTGTAAGTTTTCAAATGTTCACAAGGTAGAGTGATGATGTCATTTTCATTTTACCAGTACATATTCCAATGCACTAAATGCATGCACAGATCACATCAAAACTAAATTATGAAAAAAAAAATAATTAACTTACCTATGTAAAGATACTTTTTTGATTGCCAGTATTCATGCAATTTTACAATAAATGGATGGTCCCCAAGCATGGCCTAAAAAATAAAATATGCAATTTAATTATCAAATGAATAAAATTTCAACAAAAGCAAAGTGTAAAAAGAATATCTTACCTAACATATACATATAGCTTTTATTTATGGGATATATCTCATTCTGCAACTAATTCAAAAGTCTTACTTTAAATATCATCCAATCACACATCTGAATAGCCGCTTACTTTAAATATCATCCAATCACAAACCTGAATAGCCGCTTCATCTTTACACTGCTGTATGGCTCCTTCCACAATAATCTGAGTTTTGCTCATCACCTACAAATACATAAAGTAACAGAGAAAAGGTTATTTTACAAAGAAGCAAATATTCTTTTTATACTTCTATGTTAATTACTAAAATCTGTTTGGTTTAGATGTACTTGACAATTTGTAATGTTACCCTCAGCATTAGCTACACATCTGGCAATGAGTAATGGGTAAGACAATGATAATGTCACACGGGTGTAGTTTTATGCAAGCACGGTTCTTCATAGAAGAGAATAGAATTTCTCAAAACATTAGTTGTGCATTTGAAAAAGGTCAAATAAACTTGATGTCAATCAAAGCTTGCATCTGACATAAGGGTTGATTGAAAACAAGAAATGACAGATGAAAATGCTTGCAATTGTAGAAATAACAAAACTATAGATGATAAAGGACTCTCTGAGTATCAAACAAACAAGAAAGACAATGAAAGAGGTCGATGAGTATTTTTTGGAAGTTTTCTAATTGAGAAAAAACAGGAGAGTTTAAAAGTCATTCAAAACATCAATTTAACAACAATTTCAAGTTACATATCAATGAGACATTCAGTACAATAAAATAAATAGTGCATGTTTTTTTAAAGTAACAGTTGAAATTGCCCCCTCCCCCCCCCCCCAGAAATTAGAAAACCATTGTCAACCTCTGCTGAATTGTCAGTTGACAATGGTTTTCTCTTAGGGCATCAATTACCCTAAAAAATATGCACTCTTTATATGATTCAGAGTCTGAGCTAAATGGAAAAATCTTTGAAAATTTCACATATAATGATTTATGTGAAATGTCACAGTGGTTGCCTTTGGTAGGAATGAAAGCCATTATGAATATTCATTTACCTTCATGGCATAATACTGTTTCTCATCCTCCCTGCGAACTCGTAAAACATTTCCATAGGCTCCTTTTGCTATAATATCACAGATCTGAAGAACATTGTACATCATAAAGATCTGCATCATACAGACACATCGAAATGCTACAGAATGAAAATCATGCAGAAGTAATAAAGACAACATTGGGTAAACTTACATTCATCATATAAATGAAAAAGATCAACATATTTGATACATATAATACATTTTGAACTTCAACATTTACCAGAGGCTTTCAAACAACAAAAATTCCGCCTTCTAATATTAGCTTAAATTTATGAATAACAGAAAAAATACGATCAACAATGACTTAAGTGAATCTTCATAACAATTAGATACCTCAAATTCCTGGCCTTGTGCATCTCCCTTTATTGGGAAATCTGGAAGAAAGAGAGCCTCAACTAGGGGTACATTTAACTCCAGCTTTTCTGGGGTACTAATCGCTATGTCCAATCCATCTTGTGACTTTCCTCGCGTAAGTCTTCCAGATCCCCTGTTTTTATTTCTGACTAGATCAGGATTGGTTACTTGTAAAAACTACAATTAAAAATCATATAAAATAATTCTACTTATGTCAAAATTTCATATATAATACATGTACGAATAAAACAGAGATCATACTGTCAGGGTTTCTTATCTTAAAACTCAGGGGTCAAGTTTTACGTGGTATGTCCAACCAGGGACCTATATACTAGTATATAGGTCCCTGGTTCAACTGTACAATGCTGAATCAGTGAATGTTAAAAAAAACTGTAGACTAGAACCTAGTTTCCTGAATAAAATAAACGTTACCTGTGATTCGGGAACAGACTGTGCTTTTCTTAAAGGCAGTTTTTGGTTGTTGTTTCCCATAATACATGGGGTACATTATGGTAAATGTCATCGATTTTTAATAAAACATTGCTTCAGTCACTGAGTCGGCCCAGAAAACACAAAACAAAGTGATGCGGTAATTTTAGAATCACGAGTCCGAAAGTCTAGTTAATTAGATCGGGATCGGAGAGGAAATATTACATAGGATACCGAAAATCTGTAGGAAATGAGGTTTTTATTTTATCTTGTTTGTATTTCATTGGTTTATATTAAAATTTATATGTTACGTGGTAAAATTACACTAAAATATATTTATTTGGGGAAATTTTCAATTTTTCTCATGTTTTTGCATTGGATTTCCATGTAGATATAAAAGTATAGATTTGGAGATAATGTTAAAAAAAAAAAAGGCTGATTTTATAGAATTCCATCATAAATATATGTGTTTTAGCAGTTAAAGTCTGTACAAACTGAGGCATTGAAACTCAGGCATTGAAAAAATGGGTGCAAAACGGGAATTTGTCCAGGTAAGATAATTACTTAATTGCTATAGTCTATATCATAGTTCTGAAATTGGAAAGGGAGAATTCATGGAAAGAATAGGAAGAAAAAATGATTAATTTTGCATTTGAAATTTTGATTTTTGTTGTTGTTGTTGTTGTTGTTGTTTTTAATTTCATACAAAGAAAAAAAACTTTTAAAACATAAAAAATATAATAAAGACTAATCAAAACTATAACTATATTCATATGAAAATAACTGTACATCAATTTTTTTTTTTTTAAATAAGATTGAATTCATTATTTTACTCATTGATTATCTTTGTGAAATTAAAAAAACAATGTGAACTGTGATACATCTTAAATTGGGTTGGACAAGTTAAATCTTTTAAATATATATTATAATGCACTGGTAAATTCCAGGTAAATCTCAGACGGAAATCAGACTATAATTGCTTTCAAAACTTATTTCACACCTATTGTTCTATACCTAATTATCAAACGCGTGCAAAACGAGAACACACCTTTTTGAGTACCTCATACTTTTAAAATACATCGAACTAACACTTGAAGAGTCAATGAATCAAAATCATGTATTTCTTTTATATTTGTGTCCTAAATCGAAAGATTAATCAAAAATATAACTATAGCGAAGTTTTGAAAAACTCAACTGCACTGTATAGAAAAGAAAGGGTGTAGGAGATATTAAGAATATTTTTCGAAGATCGTGTCAAAATGTGCGGTCTACCGACATTCCACTTCTGGGGACTGTGGTATTTTGTTCAACTTTTCAGTTCAAGCATGCATACAAAAGGAGAAAGGTTTAAAACAATATTTTTTGTCTTGGACCAGACATTTTTTTTTCTTCATAAAACTAAATAGTTTTAGGTTCTGAAACCTGTAACTTATTAAATCAAAGCATCGAACAAAATCTGCATTGGTCATGCAAATATTTTACTTTTGTAAATTTTTCATATTTTGCGACACCGTGTCTCCTGAAATGTAACGCAAGTTATCAATTCTTGGTTCCTAGGGTTGACTGAGGTTGCCCTAACAACCGACACTTCTCTTCTGGGATCCAGGGCGTTCCCACGACACGGTCGACCCGCGTTGAGGTTAGCATGAATTACAGATCACTGACAGGAAGTCTGTGTAGGGACACGAAGACACGTGTGGTTGTGGAGATGAGGAATACAAGTGGAAAGACAGTTCCGAGCAAGGACCTGGACACCCCAGTCGTCGCAGCTTTGAAGGCTGTATAGTGGACAGCATGGAAGAAGGATTCAAGTGAAAACGGAGCCACGTATCTTTTTCACCAGGCTTAGAATGTATATAGGTATTTAATTCTATCTGACTGAAACCAGGGACAGTCAGGAAAGTCTGTATGACAACCGAGAATATTTCATTTACATCCTGTTGAGACAAGAGAAAGCCAGAAGAGACTGGGATCAATCAGGGAGAAGACGCTTCGCAGACCAAAGCACAACTTCCGCGAGGAGGGACACATTTCATCACCATGTGGAAGTTCGAGTGAACTGTTGGGACAGATAACCAGGAAACAACAAGGCAAAGGACAGCAAGGACGATTTTGAACAAAGAAGTGTATGCAGCTGTGACAAAAGTATGGAGAAATCAATGGGACCTAAAGATACACATGAAATGATTGCATGCAATCCATATCAGCGGTTAACAACGCACAGGGCAACTTGATGAGACGGAGGAGGAAGTGAAACAATTAAGACGAAAATCACAGTGAGCACAGCCGACATGTGTTAGGCAATGATTCTACAACAGAGAGAACAACAATCAGCCACAGGAGAACATCAGTCAACAGCAAGAAGAAACGGAACATTCAGAGAATATACTTAGTAGACGGTGTTGATTGATTGATTGTATGTTGTTTCACTCATATAGAGACGTCACCATATACCGGTGAAGGGCTTCCAAATTAGACTTTTACTCGGCACCCAGGGCCTTTTAACAGTATGGGTCCTTTATTGTGCCAACGCCTACCGTGACACGGGACCTCGGTTTTTAAGGTCTCGTCCAAGGGACCCACAACTTTCAAATCAAAGTGCCGAGCGCTTGGCGATGGAACAGGTGCTACCTATTTTTATATCGACTTATGTCAGTCGCGGCCGTGATTCGAACACACAACCTTCCGATCACGGAGCGAGCGCTCTACTGACTTAGCTACCGTGACGGCGATGTAAGGAAGAGGAAAATAAATGGACAGCAGAAACAGCAAAAGTGATTGAGTAAAATGGCCAAGCAGTAATAGCAAAAGTGAATGGAAATAATTTGACCTAGATGCTGATGCAATTCTAAGTGCAACCCTCGCAGGCATTATTGACGGGGAAATATGACATAAATTATATACAATGTAGGTCTTGACAGGTTCGGGAAAGGGAAAAGTCAATTAAAGAGAGATTGATTGATTGATTGATTGATTGATTGATTGATTGATTGTATGTTGTTTTACGTCTCATTCGAGAATTTTTCACTCATATAGAAATGTCACCAAATACCAGTGAAGGGCTTCAAATTTAGACCTATCAGCGAGAGTTTTTTTATCCTGCCAACGCCTACCATGACAGGGGGCCTCGGTTTTTAAGGTCTAATCCGAAGAACCCGTGACATTCAATTCTTATTCAGGGCGCTTTGCAAAGGAGCAGTCAGTACCAATGGTTACGTCTTAGGTTTGAGTGGGCGCGGCGAACGAGAATCGAACACGATGCTCCCGATCACGAAGAGAACGCCCTACCACTAGGTTACCATGAAAGGTGACTAAAAGAGTGAAGAGAAGGGGGAAATAGCAAGGATGAGACAAACCAGCGTCAGCTTCTTAAATAGTGTAAAAAAGCAACAACGGTGAAGTAACCACCACTTTCAGAGTTTAAAACGTAAGAGAATGTCTTGAGTTAACAGAAAGACCAGTCTACAAGGTGCAAGAAAAAGAAGCGAAATAGAGCAAGAGCAAGGCTTATTACAGACGCGTTCCAGTCATGATCAAGGTTGCTAGAAATTAAGGGTCTGGATCATTGAGATCTTCGAAAGAGGATGTAGAGAAGTATTTGAGGGAGATGCACGGTGATCCGCAGGGAAGAGGATCTAGGGATATTTGGAGCAGTTAATACATGGAAATAACGAACAGTATTCAAAGCTCAAAAGTCCATTAAACAATATAAATCAGGAGCAGAGCAAACACGGACCTCTGAAACATCAGAGGTGAGATCAGGTGAGCATCCCCTGCCGACCGGTCACAACCCGCAGTGTGCTCCTTGCATCCAAATCTTCACGAATAACCATCAAAGCTGAAAGAAGTAATAGACGCAGGCCCGTGGTACGCGTAAGGGGGGGGGGGCTTTTCTGGGAATAATCTTTTGCCTTAGTTTTAATATGTAAAAATTGATGTGGATGCTGCTTAGCCTTGCCGTTTGTTGCTGTATGATCAAACATAAGCCAATACTAGCATTTGAGAGAAAAAATGTATGTACCGAAAAAAGACGAGCCCCACTTTCCCTCCCTCCCAGCGAAAGAGGATTTTAGATTAGGACAGTTTACGTTTATTTTTTATCCCCTGTTAACTTTTTTTCGGACCCCCCCCCCCCCCACACACACACACTTTGAAATACATTGCTACAATGGGGTACCATTAAAAGTTTACAAGATCTGTCAAAGGTTGGCGACTTCTCTGCAAACTGATAAAATTTGTTTGGAGGAGAGGTCAATTAGCAGATAGCTGGTACAAAACAGAAGGCTGTTTTATTCAAAAAAGATATATCGGAGGCACCAAAACAGTTTAAGCAATATCAATCCTGAACATAGAATGAAAGATATGCATGTACCTTGCGTACCTTGCTATTTTAGCTACATGTAGAAGAAAGTACTGTTACATGCTTGAGATCTGCATCGCATTGCAAAAGGGGTATGCGGAGTATAAGGAGGTATTCAGCACACAAGTGTCCTGACAAAGATAATCCAAGAAATTAAAGGGAAACTGGTAGTCCAGTCATATTGTTAGATGAAATGTATGGAAAAAACGAACAGTATTCAAGCTCACAAGTTCATAAACAATACAAAGTTTGGAGCAGAGCAAACACGGACCTCTAAAACATCAGAGGTGGGATCAGGTGCCATGGAGGAGCGAGCATCCCCTGCTGACCGGTCACATTCGCCGTGTGCTCCTTGTCATGATCGGGAAATAACGGGAAAATCCGTCGACAATTCAGTGTGTAAATAATAGCTTAAGTATGAAAAACTTAAGTCAGCATTTGACTTAATGATAAATTGTATTTGCTGACAAGTTCATTGTATGGACCAAAGTACTTAAGAAATGACGACTTTAAACGAGACTGCTGATATTTTTGTTTCATCAACTTGTTTGTCGATAACTAACCTCGTTTTAGAAATTGTTCATACGTAGAGTATGCTCTTGCGTATCGAATCAACTGAAAGATATAAACCCCGTATGCAGTTGATGAAGGTATATTGCTACATAAATAAGGGAAGATGACGATTGAAAAGTTAAAGTCATTACGTTTATCATATAAAGCTTGGTTATTAGATAACCATGAACGTCTTTTCTAGTAAAAATTCCAAATATGTATCAGATGTGTCAAACTCTG